ACGTCCGCGGTTTGCCCCCTGCCTTCTTCTCGGGGGTCTTCTCGACTCTCCAATCCGGGCTACCACCTTGGGGTTTCCTCGCCATCTCCCATCGGAGAGTTAACCGGGTTAGATTCTGCTTTGCTTTTTCCAGGTCAGCTAAGTTGTGCCAAGAAAACAATGCCATGTTTGGCTAGATGAAAGGACTGAACGAACAGGTTAGGGATAGATTATCATGGGGAAAAATCTATGCAGTGGCTAAGAGTTGAAAACGACTGGATGGCACTTAATCAACCCGTCAAAGTTGTCCCAAAGCAGCTGGGAAATGTGCAGTTGGCAAATCTGGGGCTGCCAAAAGGTCCTTCCGGGCTGGCAAAGCCAACATCAGAAGTGTGGAGCTGGACACAGAAATCCACAACGTTCGAGGGTGGGAGGAAAGAGGAATTCCAGGAGCTGGAGAAGTGGGTGGGTTTGACTGCAAAAAACTCCAGAAGAGGTTTCAAAAGCACGAAAGAACCACGTAAAGGCTCGGCTTCCCGGGATCACAGCTCAAGCCAGAGGAAAAGGGGGCTTACCTTTTTGCAGTCTTGGCAAAACACAGCAGTGCTACCAAGAAACCCCAGGGCTTCCCCGCAGAGAAGGCATTCAGACAAACCGTTGCCCAAAACATTCTTCCGCATGTTCTCCAGCCGCTCGACCAGGCGCCTGAAACACAGAGGCTCCATCAGAACAGACTCCGATCCGCAGGCTCCTGTCATAGTGCTGCAGACCTAACAGAAACCTCCGAAACTCCCTGGCGTTTCTGCCGGGATTCCAAGAGGGGAGTCTCATTCTGTTAGCCCTGCGAGGTAGTCCAGACAAGAATCACAGCCACGAGGACTCGCTCTGCCTTGATTGCAAGGCTCCATTCGCAGAATCTTGCAAGACTGAAAGTATTCTCCCCTCTCCTGTTATTCTCCGGAAAACTAGGGAGGGTCCCTTCCGAAACGTGGCTCACACCCTCCCTCCTTCTGCGGGCTGAGGCATCTTTTACGTGCCGGTCGCCGCGTCTGTGGCTCTTCCTCCTGTCTCCCAACGCCGTTCCCACATACCATTACACATTCCCAATGGAATACATCTCTGTTGGGAGAAATCAACAATTGGCAAAAGCTTTGAGTGTTGTCCTGCAGATCGTAAGATCACCTTAATTTATTACGGTCTGATTTGGGCTCACCGAGGGCAAACTGTGCAGCTGGAACACTGGAATAGCAAAACATGGCAACACACTCCAGAAGCAAGATAGAGAACAAGGAGGCAGGAAGGGGATCATCTGAGTTGGGATCATGTGTGCTTTTAAACCACGTGGGGTCTGGTGGATGGGCAGCTTAGAGGAAAGTGTGAACATGGCCATGGTAGCCTACGCAACGAGCCACCACTGAGCGACTCGGCCAGCTACGGAGAGAAGCGCCTGTCTTGGTCTCAAGTCAGAGGGGGTTTGCAGTGCACAGGCCCATTCCTTTTCTTTTAAACACAACATACAACCCATCGTAACGTGGGCGTGTTGAGGATGCAGATCAACAGCTGTCTTCCTCTACAACCCATCTGGGCGTGCGTCCTACGGGAGCTTTCAGCACAACTGGTAAGCGTGCAAGATTTTGCGGCTTACTTACCCAGGCCAACGCTAACCTCTGCTACTTTTCCCAAATCCCTCCTGCGCAATTTAATGCCACCAACCTTGGAAATTAAAAGGTTTCCTAATCCAGCAGGCCCACACATATCTATGACTCACCAAAAGACCCAGACCACAACAAAGGGTTATGGGCTACTGGAAAGAGGAAAGAATCAGCCAATAATCTGGTGATTTTAGCCAAGAAATTATTGCAACGGACTCTGCCAAGCAGAGCATTAGAGTCAGTCCATCATCCCCAAACACAATCTTTCTGGGATTTAAAGAGCTGGAAAGCAGGTAAGTGTCTTGCAGTAGCTACAGCATCAAGGGCTAAAGACTTTCCAGCAGCAAATCTTAGGGCTCTTTGCGCTAAGGTTGTAATTAGTTTGAGAATTGTCATCCAGGTTGCAATTTAAAAAAAAAAAAAAAGGGCTCAAGGAATGCAGAGCATTAACCCTGCTGAGCACTTTGCAATTATTATCTTAATTATTTCCAGAAAGTGGAAAAACTCTACAGAGCCCCGCTTGGCCTTTCATCTTTAAATAGACTCTGGACGACAAGAGAAAGATTCGCCAGTGGCCTTTGGCTGGGAAATGCATATTTTCAAGCCCACTGTATGGTTGACTAGGTTAATAAAGATGCACGTAATTGATTGCAATCTAAAAATTGGCTGTCATTAGAGGGAAAAAGGAAGGACAACAGCAGGAGGAAGTGGGGTGAGGGGAGGAAATGGGACACGGCTCCATTTTCAAAGGACATAGTTGTCTAGGGAACATGATAAGAGGCTCATAAAAGTTATGAATGGGGCATGAAAATGGAGGAGAACCCCTAACGCAGAGGCAGGAAGGATGCCTTCTGGGACAAAAATACCTGGATTCAGAGTTTTATTTTTTTTTTTAAGGGGGGGACTCAAGATAGCCAATGAAAACCTTTCCTGTTGAAGATTTCCATGAGCTCTAAAGGCGTGGGGGGGAGGGATTTATTTATGTATTTATTAATCAAATTTATATGGCCGCCCATCTCACAAAAAATGACTCTGTGCGGCGCACCGTTATTACATAAAACCAAGATGTAATAATTATTAAAAACATGAAAAACTATAAAAACAGAACTAAAGCAGCAGGAGGAAATAACAGGCTAAGGGATGTTAATAATACAGCCACCTCACTAGTGACCTCATGTGGGCCATGACATCGCAGGAAGGACACAAATGTGTATTATTCGCACTGTGAGGTCCCCGTGAAAGGTCTTTGGGGTGTGCACAAGGGACCTATGATTGCAAGGCACAAAATGGAGCCAAGTAGACAACTTGGTCAACATAGACAACTTGGTTGACTATGACTTAGTCAACAAACCACAGTTCAACACTCCCAGCTCATCTTGCAAAAAAACACAGCTGTAGAAGCGACCTCAAGATCTACTGACTTAGGAGAGACCCGGAAAGGGCCAAACCTACTATTCCTGAGCAAAAAAAAAGGTACCAGCAGCAAGATGGAGCCTCCACGTTCAGAAGCACTCTAGCCCAGAAGCCATTTCTATCCGAGCTCTGCCATTTGTCATCCAGCCGGAAGCCTCTGGTCAGCTATTTGGGGAAGCAGAGCAATGACCTTTAGGCTGACTTAGGTCTGATTTTGCGTTTGTCATCGTTCAACCCGGGGGGGGGAAGGGGAGTTGCGGTACCCAATTCTATGCTGCTCGATTATCTCCAGCTTTTCGGCTCGACGAACGACCGCCAGGATCACGTCCATCTCCCTCGAATCCAAAGCCTGCATCTTTCTCTGGCGGTCTGTTTGGAAAGTGTGCACTGACCAACCGCTGTGGAGCCTGCAAAGGAACGAATGAGGAAAGCCTCTTTCAACCTTTTCCACCCAGCTGGGGTCTCTGTTCCTTTCCACACAGCATTCGCTGCCCCTTTTTCTCTTTTTTTTTTTAGATCAAAGTGGTTTATAATAAACGCAATAAACCACCGAATCCAAACAGCAAACAACATCCATGATTTCAAACTAATCCATAATCAGGATGCAGTGAAGGGAAGGCCTAGGAAATAAAGAAAAATAGGAAGCGTGGCTTGGGGTCAGAAAGGGAAGGGGCTGTCGAATCTCTGAGGAAGCTCATCACCGCTTGCCGGTTGCCAGCACGTTGCCCCACTCGGTGCTACAAAAACGCCAGCTGAAGTTCATCCGAACTGAGCTTAACTTGTTCTGGAAATGCAGCCACGTATTCTGTTCGCATATTCGGGCGAATAGATTCTGCCCTCTCTGCTGGTTTATCACGACAACCCGCAGTCTTTCCCCACCCTGGCAAGTTTCAGAGGTATGGACTTCAACTTCCAGGATTCCCCAGCCAGCAAGGGCAATTGAAGTCCACCCCTCTGAAACTTGTCAGAGCGGGGAAACCCTGCAATACAGTAAATCTTCATTTAACGTACCCCCTCCTTACAGGGTGGTCTAGATGATCTATGAGAGCCGTCCAGCCTTGCAGTCTACAATTCTACAAGCAAGTTTAAATGAATGGATTAGAAAACCAGGTTCAGACACATTCCACTTGTCAACATCTCTCATTTAGGGAAAGAAAAATTAGGGAGACACCTACTTGGCACGGAGGGCCAGATGACGGTCATTTGGACACACCCACTGGTCACTCCCATTGCCAAAAATGGTTTCCGCCATGGACCGGACCAGACTGGGAGTGCAGGAAGTAGACTCAAACCTGCAGAGAGGGGGAAACTGTTTTTGTACAACACTGATTTTCCAACACTTTACAAAGTTTGACACACAAGGAGGACAAACACTTTGGGGGAATAAGCATTGAACAGAAGTTAGGCACCGTTTGCGGTTATGACACTGATGGAAAAGGAACTTTGCGACCAATCCTCACATTTATCACCTTTGCGGGTCTGGAAAGCAGAAGTCAGATCATAAGCACGGTTGCGGTTTCACTTAGCAACTACTTGGCTTAATGACCGAGTTGCCGGTCCCAGTTGTGGTCACTCAATGAGGACGACCTGTATCCTGTATGTAGAACGTTTGGGGCACCTTTTCGCTGTATTCTTTGCATGCTGGCAAAGAACCTTTCTTGCAGATCTCCCATCTCCCAGCTGTTAGTGATTAGATTTTCAAAACATAGGCCAGGTTGAGAGGGGAAGACTTTCCACATGGCATGCTTTTCCTGTAGGCTTGAACGCTAAACAGATATTGGGCCTTGAGTTTTTTGCACACCCCAAACTTGTCATCTGAAGTCACTTGCCACCAAAAGGGAGCAAGCTGCAGTTTAATCAGTGCGATCATCTACAAGCAAACCTCTTTCTCCTCCATCCATTACATGTAGGTTAACCGTGAAAGCTGATTAGAACCTCCAGGCTAAGAAGCAGTTTACCCCGGACAGTGGATGTTGCTGGATGTAGGAGCCCACAATCACTCACTGAATTACTCTTGTACTTCTAAGAGATGCCAGTTTGCTTTTTCTCTCTCTTTGATTGTGGTAAATACAGTACAGTACAGATTGTCAATAAATACATATTCCATAATGCTAACATTTTAAGGGGCTGCCAAAAGTTGCGCTTACCTTCTGAATGCCATGTTTTGGGGTCTTGGCCCCCACTGAATAAGGACAGGGGGAACAAAACAAACATTAAATTGTTTTTTTAATCTTAGCATTAAAATGGAATGCAACAAATTAAATAGAGCTAATGCAGTTGCTCTCTACGTGCTTTTCCATCTACTGCATTTGAAATTACAATTCGGTGATGGTTTTCTGGGGGCTGCATTTACGGTTAGGGGAGGCATGTGCTGCAATTTTATTTATTGATTTGATTTATTTAGCCGCCCAGGGCTATATAAAGAGGATGGATGGACGGATGGATGGAGTCCTTGGATGCACTGGTGAAAAGGATGGCCAGAAGCTAATCTTCTGCTCCCGTCCTCAGCTTATGACAGCAGGCCCTGGGCCTCCAAGTTAAGCAAGCTCAGGCTGGATTAAGACTCGGATGGGAGACCACAAGGAAATACAAACCTGTAGTCTAGACTGGGACGTTGAAAACACTTCCTGGAAAAAGCCAGGGATCAACCTCGCCAGCACCGTTGCCACAAAAACAACACGGATGTGTCCATGAATTCCCAGGAGATTTTATCTTTTTCTACGTTCAGTGTTTGACTTTCTCAGCATGCAGTGTTTGCCCACAGTGTGGAGAAACATTCTCTCTCTCACGCTTTCTTTTTCTACAAAGGGAAAAACAGAACAATAAGAAAACCGTCTGCAAAACCCAGCTTTCCTGCCTCCCTCAAACTGTCAAGCCTGTTTTCTGCCCAAGCACCCCGCCCGAGCTGCCTTTAAAATGCAGACAGCTTGTCCTTGGCCTCTTTCTCAGACAGGAAAAGGCACCTTTTCCACCCTACTGTGTTCCCAGAGCAAAGAGGCTCCGTGCCAGGGGAGAAAAATCTCGGCCGCCAGTTCCCAGCACCAAAGGCGCAACAGCTCTCCGTTGCACAAGGCAAGAAAAGGTGGTCTGTGCCACGTACAATGTGCCAGTCTTTGTCCAACAGGGCAACTCTAAGATGGGTGGACTTCGACTCTGCCCACGAAGTAGAAAATCGCACAAGGGTCTAGTCCTCATGGCCACACGGTGCAGGCTTGAGGGGCTGCAAGGTTCAGGTGCTGTCCTCTTGAGGGAGAAACTGGCAGACTCTTTCAGCTTCGTTCTCCTTACACTGCCGGTTTTATTACCTGTCTTATGCCCTGCTTCGTCGCAAGACCGCACTGGCTCCAAGACCACTCCTTTCCCACCAAACAGCCATCGTCCTGAACAGGACCGGTCCCCAGATGCCCTTCTTGAACCGGGCCCACCCTTCAGGGGCCAACTCCCTGTCGCCCCTGTCTCTTTCCCCTGCCCAGGTC